GGACTGCGAGTGCAACCCAGGCACAGACTAGAGGAAGAGAGAGGAAGCAGATGGCACGAACGGGCATGCCTGCTATGAGCAGCAGGGTCAGCTACAACCTTATCCTCGCTAGCTCGACTCAACCCCCTGAGGCCGCGGGCCCTCCACTTCCTTTTTCCCAGCCTCCTCCTGCCCCCCCCTTCTTCCCTCTCCCTCATCCGGCCTCTCCTCTCTCGCCCGTATCTCCCGCGTCCGACTCTTCCGACGCCCGCCCTCTCCCTCCCCCCCTCTCCTCCTCTCCCTCATCCTCCCCCGTGCCCCCGCCTGAAGCCCGAGCAGCTTCGCCGCCCAAAGGATCTTCACCGCCCGACCCCGCCATGGCGGCCTGAGCCTCAGGAGCTCCGACATCCGCCCCCTCGTCAAATAGTTCCTCTGCCATCCGAGCCACCTCTTCTTCTGGGTCATCTGAGACCGAAGCAGGCGGGACGCACGGGCGAATCTCCATGATGAAAGACTTGTTGAGGTTCGACGCTGTCGCCTCGTCAACGACGCGCCCGAAGCATGGCAGGCGAAGGCTGTCAGCCTTCGCGACCGTCTTCCTCCCCCATCCCCTCGCCCAAGCATGCGTCGCCCAGGCAGCAGAGTGAAAGAGAGGCACAGAGAGACAGGGGGGGGAAGAGAGAGAGAGAGAGGGAGGGCGAGCCCGAAAAAGAGAGAGGAGGAGAGAGCGATAAGGAGATAGAGAGAAGTAACGATGAGAGGGACGCCACTACATACGTAGAGAGAGGAAGAGAGAGAATGGGAGGGAGAGAGAGAGAGAGAGAGAGAGAGAGAGAGAGAGAGATGCTAGTGTGAAAAGCGCTGCGCCTGGCACGTGGGCTGCGTTGCAGTTTTGCTGCAGCTAACACGCGAGACAGGGAAACGGTTGCTGCGGTGCATGTTCTTGCGATGCATGTTGCTCCATTGCAGCTTCTGTATGCGATGCGTCGCATGACGCTCTCACAAGTGCGATGTAGCTGTTGTGTCGCGTTTTGGCTGCGTTGCACGTTTCGTCCTCATTCCGGCCCCTCGCCATCCCACTCCTTCTCCTGCTGATACTTGTCCTCCTTCCTCCGCTACTCCCCATCCCTCGCCCTCCCCGCTCCCCCACTTCCTCCTCCCCCCTCCTCGTCCTCTCTCGCCCTCTCACCTCACCCCAGGTGGTCCTGTGCAGCTTGTAGGACTTCTTGCCCTCGGGCGACACGATCTCCTCAACGAAGAGGTTGGTGTTGCCGCCCTTCATCTTCTGCATGGCCATCTCGTGTTCACCTCCCCATCCGCCAGCTCCGCCGAGCTCGCTGCTCAACTTTTCTCGGCCCTGACCCTCGTCGCCATCCTTCTCCAACCCCTCTCCTGTCTCTCGTCACCCTGGCCCCCTGCTACCTCACCCTCCTCGTCGGCCTCCCCATCCACCTGCTCATCACCTTGCTATCCCCCTCTCCCGTTCCCCCGGCCCCGTTGCCGTCTGACACGCCTGTGCGAATTGCTCCTCAAAGGGACTCAATGCTCATCTATCGTTACTGGCCTCTTGCTTGTCCTCGCCGATCCTCCTCCTACGACCACTTCCTTCCGCCCCCCTCCTGCCCCCCCCCCTTTCCTTCCCCCCGCTGCGACCTGGGCAGGGAGCCGAGCAATGAACAATGACGACGCTTGTCGTGATAGCCGCGATGACGACGACGGACACCGACTGCCTTTCCATCCGCACACGCCGCCCGCGCCCGACTCCTGGCCCTGAGCTAGAACCACACGCTTTTCCCTGGCAGCCACGGCCATCGGGAAAGGTCCCATTGCTGCCTCAGATGTGGCTGCTGGCTCGCCGTCGCCCCCGCTGCCGAATTCGCCTGCACCTCGTCCAGGCCCGCCGCGTCCTGGGGACTCTCCTGCCTGGTCTCCTGATGCTGGAGCAGGTCGCTTCTGCTTGGGCGCGGTGTGCTGCTGGTAGCTCCACTGCCCTTGGTGCCCTTGGTCTGCTTGGAGCAGGTCGCTTCTGCTTGGGCGCGGTGTGCTGCTGGTAGCTTCTTCTCCTTGGGCTTGGGCGGCTTGGGCTTGGGCCGCTTCTTCTCCTGCGGCGAGATCTCTCTTGGCCCCTTCTTCGACGAGGCCTTGACGCGGGGGACAATCTTGATGTGCGACGTGTCGGGGTCGCCCTGGAATGGCGGCATGCCCTATCTAAGCCAAAGAGCCAGCATTGCTTGGGCCCAAATGGCTACGGACGAAGGTGGCCGTTGTCCAGTTACGAAGGTGGCCCACGTCTGACCGCTCATGCGTTACGGAGGTGGCCGCCGTCGCCCTGTTATCCCCTTATGCACGGCCATCGGGGGTTACCCTGCTCCACGTCAGCCCCCCCGCTGGCCCCTCGACGGACAGCCAGGCATTCCCTTCCGCCCCTCGCTGGCGAAGCGGCTACGGCGCAGCGGCGACGAGGGGTGCGACTACCCCTTCGGCATGGCAACTGTCGACAACCTCGAGAGGGACAGCGACGACGTCAGGGGGAGGCATAACAGGTCAGGATATCACAACGAAAACACCACAAGAAAATACAGGACATGACAAGGGGGGGGCAAGGTGTTGCTCGAGTTCAAATCCCCTGCACCCTGCACCTCCCCCCCTGGGAGCACCTCGTAGAATGATGGTCAGCTTGTCCATCACCTCCCCTTCC